GTAAAGAAAATCATACGTCTATTGTATGGCACCATAATCTAATTTTATTTAAATCCTCACTGACTTCCATTTTGTATAATAACCGAAAATAATCCCCCGAAGCAACGGTTTAGAAACGATTCTTCTAATGATATGAAGTATAAACAGGTAAAAAATAATATTTTAAGCCGATTTCCATTTAACTTTCTTTAAAAACATGTGCTCTATTTTAAGATATTCGAAACAGTTTGTGATATACCAGATGTCACCGCTCACTGGCCTCCTGAGCGAGGTCATGTGCAAGAACATCTCATGCGGAGACACACGAATCCTCTCAACTGAAAACCCTTAAACTTGTGTCACACAAAATAGACAATTCATTCTGTCCTACACTAGTGTCCTGGCGGCGAGCTAATAAACTACAACACAACAAACAAAAAAACATCATCCAAATGATAAAAAGTTATGTGGCAGCGATAAAAGCGCGCGACTTGGAAGAAAGGTCACTGTTAACGTACTGTAGGTTAAGTAGGCTTCTTTTCAGTCGGATCATATTATCATTAATTATGTTTACAAACTTACAGACGATGTAACACCACGCTATCATATGAGGAATGTGACAAACAGTCTTTCAATTTCGTATTGAAGTCTGGCTTAACATCAATTCAATACCCTATGCTTTCACTAATGTACTTTTTACTGGTTATCTGTACACATGCTGATAATAAACATATAATCACTAGATCGTTAAACTTGACACATGGTTTGTCCTTGATATTACTTCTTAGTTTTACTAATGGCGTCAAATTCAGTGATCAGCGGCATCGAATAAAAATATATTCTCTAATCACCACCAAGAATAATAAACCCTAGTAACAGAATAAATTTTAGGTCGTAAGTCCAAAACTTCAGGGCTTCGACTTCATTTCATTCTAAATAATGTAAAGAATATGTGAGTGTTATAGCCTGCAACTTAATTAAGACAAACAATTAAGCTTACAAAGTATGCCTTTGTTATGTCAACAATCCACCCATGGTCACAAATTAATTATAAAACTGTAAATAATATACTTTCGTAAAATGAGTCTCTTACATCTGATATCTAGTTTACACATAGGTAAACATGTTCCCTCTTTGCGCGATAATTATTTAATGTAATAGTTAAAATCTGAACGTGCAAGTGTTTAATATCATCTTTTGATATTTGATTAAAGTCAAAACTAAATGCCTCTTTTTTACCCATCTTTCTGTTGGTTTTCCTTATCAACAAGATATAATATACATCTTGTGTGTGTGTTTAAAGAAAGAGATGTCCTGTGTCGTTGTTTTTGCTTCGACCAAATGACCATCATATCACCCTTTTAAAATTCAACAATTTCAAACTATTTTATTTTTAGCTGCAGCACAGCGGCTCATGGAATGGCTCTGAGTTCTTTTTAGCCGCGACTGAGCGGCTCATACATCGGTTCTGAGGTTTGTTTGTTTGTTTTTCAAGTACAAACTTTTAGCTCATAGCTACGTCATTTCTTGACCGATTTGAGATCTAATTACAGTTTGGGACTCAGGAGGTCAAACCCTTTTGATTTATGTATTTGACCACGCCTAAGGTCTCATAGATTAATTTATTCTAATCCTGCCTATAAGAATTTCAATTTGACAGTAGGCTGGTAGAGATCCTGATGAGTAATAAAATCAAATCGGGTATACGCGTGTCCCACGCTTGGTATTGCTGGCACACAAAAATATGGCTAATAAAAACAAAGGTCTCATAGACTATTTTACTCTAATCCTGTTTAAAAGAATTTCAAGTGCCACGGCTATTGGGATTCCCTCTTGTTTAACATTTTATCAGTGCAGGCCTAGTTTTAAAAGTGGCACCTTAATAATACAACCTGAGCATTGGTAACATCGCGTGCCAGAATCATTTACACTATTGGATGCATACCGACAAGTTCGTAAATAAGCAACGAAAGAATTGCGATAGTTGATCATACAAACCGCGTGAATTCCCCCCAACATGCATACAGCCCATATAACTAATCTGTGGAAACGAAAAAAAACGTAACTCTTCAAGGCAGTCAGTAGATTCCTTTCAACTAAAATATTACTGCACTACATGTTCGTCTGCATTTTCTAAAGAAAATCACAATTAACGAATCAAAGGCTGTTGTGTGAAAATTTATAAAACATAAAGATTAGATGGATATTAAACTTTTCCTCGAGTTACACACCAACTAACTCATTGAGATAATTAACTGTTTTGATATATATATATATCGCAATCCATACACTATACCGTTAGTAAAAAATGGGGATCTTTTCCGTTTGGTGCTCACCAACAGATCGTTTTGAAAATAACACCAGTAATGCAATCAGATAAAATAATCAATAATAAAACATTATATGATATTTATTTAGTGAATTCTGTGATATTAAACAATATTTTTTTAATAAATATTCATCTTTGTTTATATTTCTCCATATAAATTCACAAAGATAAGAGCCAAGCATTTGGTAATAAGTTTCGCATTGACGCTTTTGTACTGTTGATGGGCACTAAATGGAAAATATCCAAAAATGGTATTAACATAAAGAATTTAATAAAATTTATTGTGCCTTTGTTAAGCTTATATGATAATAAAATGTTTAGCAAAGTGATACAGTCAACGAGTGTGTAACTCCACGTTGAAGTTAATGTCAGCATGGGATAAAACTTGTTTATTTCCTACTTATTCAACATGTATTAGTAGCCTCTACGGTCCTTTACTGTAATAAATAAGTTAGATAAAAACGTTTGATATCTATCGCCTTGGGGATTGTATATCCAGTTACATCTTTGGTAATAAAGTAATAGACAATACTATTTTACTATATACCTGAAGTTAACACTATTCTAGAGTTACTATCATGTATAGTTACGATATTCTCACAGTATGGTGAGTGTATTGCATTGTATAAGATATGCATATGCTAATACAGTGGCGTGTTGCCGAAGATTAGATTTGTGGCGCTACAATTTGACATGTTTAGTACCTATAAATTTATCTCACGCCGCATCCCCGAGCATTCATTATTCACTGAAATTCCTCTATGGATGGACTTCAGTAGAGAGGAATTAAGTCATCAATTTTTTTAAACAACGATATTCGTAAAACAACTACGTCAACACATGGAACAGTATCGACAAGAGAAGATCCACGCATGACAATGTAACACCACCTAAATCTCTCCACTAACTACAAGATTGTAGCTATCATGATTAAATTCACAAATCGTCCAAGAAATCCACCACATTCTTCCGGAAAGTTATTCCCCCCACCACAGATACATCATGAGAGAAATAAAAACTACAGAAGATTGTACGAAATATACTTTGCACGAGAAAAACGGAAGTTTGTTGCGACCTTATAAGAGAGAGATGAGAGTTGTTCAACACTTCATTGTTGCTTCGGGTTTCTCACATAACGAGAAATTTAGTTAAATTCAACAAAGTACAGAGTAAAACAAAAGTTCTAGTTCAGCGGTTCTCAATCTGTGGTCTACAGACCACTAGTAAACTGTGGTCTCCCTTCAGGTGGTTCGAAGAAAGGTAGCGTGATTATGGAAAGGAAGCAACAGCCTAGTGTATAAATCCCATCGTGATCTGCTGAGATAAAGAAAGAAGTTTGAGAACGCCTGCTGCTGTCACTATAGAGAGAATATTGACGACAGTTACTGGAGATAGCATTCCTGCACTGTATGTCCAGGACGCCACAAAGAATGACTACATCAGGATAAAGCGTTAAATCACAGCAGCGTTTCTAAGTGAATCGGAGAAAGAAATCACTGTTCATGTTGTTGTTTTTTGTTTTTTTTTTTTGCTGAGATACATACTTCTGAAGTCGCCTGACGTTGTACCCAGTGAGTTCTGTGTTTCCTTGAACATGGTTATGGACACCTATAGACGCGTACAGTGGAGGGTCTTTGGAAAGTCTATCAAGTCGTGTAGTTTAGGATTGACCTCATTGTCCTCAGCAGAACCGACCAATATTATGTAATAATGGAGATAACGCAAGCAAATATAAAATAGTTCCAAGGGCAGCATGTAGTCTGGAATAACAATATCATAAAATGTAATGAACTCTTCTTATACTTAACGTCTATATAAAAATATTTTAACGTTGACAAATATATCTGTCTTTGTAGCTACCATATTGAATTTTTAAAATACTTAAGTTAAAATCCATACCATTTGTTTGTTTCACAAAAGGCTATATATATAGACATAGCAGTCCCTAATTTCGAAGTGATAGACTAAAGGGAAAGTAACTAGTCAACATTACTCATCACCAGCTCTTGTCTAACTAAATAGTGAGAAATGACCGTCACTATTATAACCTATCCATGGCCCCAAAGTGCAGAGCGCGTTTTTGTGGTAACAGATCGCGAACCGTGAATCCTCGGCAATTACTAGGTCATGTCCGATCAATATTTATACTTATGGTACATAGAAGTATGTTGGAGAAGACAACATGTAAGTACTAATTGGTAACGAGTAAGTCAAGAAATACTGTTTAATCAAGACTGCGTTTATTTAATATTTAAAGAATTTTAACGGGATATGAGTTTTGTATTCAATTTTCCTGGCCTCAAATACGAGAGGAGGGAGGGTGAAAATTACTACAGCTCTGTATCTCTATACAGAACAAATTTCGAACGTTTCATTAAACGAAAATGACAGACAAATGTTACGTTTTTAAAAATTGTTAATCTGAGTGCTACAATTTTACTTTGAGCATGAAAATATTATGCTTTTAAAATGGACCAGGTGCTTATAGAAGCGCTTGGTCACCATGCAAAGCATTGAATGTGAAATACTCAAGAAATTTGAATACGAACTTTTCTAGAACCTCATTAACTATCACACCAAACGTCTTTATAGGCATATGTTTAATACTATCAATGGGATTTATCGAACTCTCCTTCACCAGTTCAGTATATGGGATCTGAAAAATTACTATATATATATATATATTACTTACCTGTTGCCATTGGAGTCCTAAAAACTCTCCAACTAATACTGCGCTTACTCCGAGATGCGTTCCAGGCAGCAAAATTCCTATACTCAGAGCCAACCGAGTCTTTATCGGAAGCATAGTATAGGCCAAAAACACCACAAACACAATCTCCCAGACACCGTCGGCAGCACTTGGATGTCCTCCCCATGTACCGTGAAAACCAATGTCCACGGGAAGGGTAATAATACAGAGAGTCACGAGGAAAAACAATATGACGTAACAAAGTGCCAACAAGTGAGCATCTTTCAAAAGCTTCGTGTATGCAAATATCAACAGGCCAATGAAGCTAATGCAGTGTAATAAGAAATACAGGTTCGCAACGGTGGGTGTTTGAATAAAAAAGAAATTCAATACTGTAAGCACGGCACTTAGGAGAATAAATAATGCCAACACACTAACAATAGAAGACTGCTGCATTCTGAAGATATATCGCTGATACAGAGTCTCGAGCTCGTTATTCTCGAATCTTCTTCCATTCAACAGCCGAGAAAACGCTACCTTTCTGTGCGAGTTCATTGCCTTCACGGAATGATCCATTTTGGGCTGATGTAATAACTTAGGTGTTTCTGTAAAGAATAAATCAAATAACATTTTGTGATATCAGTCTATAAAACCTTGTAAAACCACAATCCAAGATTATATGTTATTTCTCATGCTACGGTGTTAATTTATGTTCCGCCGATGTCGGAAGCAATAGTTACCTGGATAATGTCTTTTGAAACATGTATTACCTAGTTCTGAACATTATAATCAACAACGTGAGAAACGAAAATACAAATATATACTTAATATACAGGTAATGAATCATAGTATGGTATTATTTTGCAAATAAGATGCGAAATTGAATCATTACAACTTTTGAAAAGATAAAACTAAAGCATATAGTGTTAAGTTAGAGAATATCGTATTTATTTACCTTTTTTTTCTGAACTTCAATCGAGTGCGAACTCCACTTTTGCGTTACCTCCTAATAAAAATGGTCTTATAGGTACCATTCTCCCTGGGCATGACCTTTCTTGCTAACTTTAACTATTTCTTCTAACTTTTTAAGTTTACGAGCACCACACATTTATACAATAGTACACAACTAAACGCTCGCCAATTCCTTTGTGTGTATGTGTGTCTATCCTGGTATAACGAACTACCGAAATTTCACAGTGTTCCTCTCAGTCATTGTTGTCTTACCGTTTCAATCTGGTTCCAAAACATTGTAGTCGAAAGTATGTTTCCAGTTCCTCTATTTTATGTTATTATTTTTACAGCTATAAAACTCGTAGTGTGATTCATGTGCCCAAAGCCCAGTATTTTCCTACTTAACCAGCTGCATTCGTATCAACAAACATGAAAAACCGCGTGCGTCTAACACAATCCTGCCTGCGGCACGAATGCCTTAGCATGAAATTGGCAAAAGCGCCGTCTCGCGGTCACTAGTCAAAGTAAAATACGCCCTCGAGATTTCACGTGCTGCAAAATATTGGAATACACGAACACGAAAGGTTGATGCAAGTTGTTTCATGTAAGCCACGGGGCCCTATTTGTGGAAGTTGTCCCATCTGGTGATATTCTGGCACGGCTCTTGTGTTTCCTGGACACGACAACTTGGTGCCACTCAGAAATACCGAAAGGTGTTTTCAATCAAAGAGGAGGTTCGATAACTTATAAACCTATTTGGGGCAAGACTGACTTTATATTTGTCACAGTCGAGAGTGAAGTGAAATTTTGTGATAGAGTGAGAGAGAAGAACGGTAGTTTTCAGTCTACTAATGCACAAAGGAGTTTAAATAAAAAGAATAGAGCAGAACGCCACCAAAAACTATTGATTTCATGATAAACAACCGAACAACGGAGAACAGTCATGGGGATTATCCCATCAAGATTCGCATTCAAAATATATGTTCGGATTGGGCTAATGTATAATCGTACAAAATCATCAAAAATTATTGTCAGTGTCCTAGGAAATATCTGTTAGAAAACATTCATGATGACGAGAAACCCATTTGAAGTAAATATGTATGTATATAGTAGACAGCTGACATGGATATTAAAAACTTTTACTTAAAAACACAAAACAAGTAACAACGTTTCGACCTCCTTGGGTCATCATCAGGTTGATGACTTAAGATGGTCGAAACGTTGTTACTCGTTTCGTTGTTTTTAAGTAAAAGTTTTAACTACCCATGTCAGCCGTCTCTACTATATATATATATATGTTGAAAAACATGCTGTTCAAGCACATGGATCAGGAAACAACACATTAATTACATTTCGGATTGTGTTGTACGTTTCAAAAAAGCAAGTAATGGGTAAGTTCTTATTACAAGACTTTTTTGTTGTCTTTCAATATTTGTAGTGCACATACACTTCTTTATCGGGATTCGGTCAATGTTTTGGACCAGGGAGGGTCAGATTCCGCGTAGACCTCTTCCTCCCTCTCTGGAAATGTTATTTAGTTTCCACTGTTACTGAATCCTTGGTAATAACCCTTGTTACTTTGTTGTTACATAACTCACAGTATGTTAAATTTTGTCCATTGTCCGCATTTTTGATTAACATACCCTTTTCATGCCACGTCCAATTCATGGGATAACATTAACTTGTATATTTTTACTAGCTTCACTTATGTATGATATCACTATTAGTCCGTGTCCACAATACAGTTCCACTTAGCATACACATAATCCCATTTTTACATACGAAACTCTTTTAAAATAGAGCTACGTTTTTGTGTAGAATTCACTTAGCCTAGCACTGTATGGCCTGTAAGATTCTTATTTATGACGTTTAGAGGGAAGATGTACTTAGGGCTTGGTTCATCATGTATTATGTAACTCTCTAGTTTGCTTATCAGTTCATTTTTATTAATATTTTTTTCTTATAATATTGATGCGAGTTATGTAGGAGTCTGTCTGATAGAGTTGGCATGTTTGAATAGAAATTCTGAGTTTGTTGATCGTGGGACTCTATATGCTTTCGTTAAAATATAGTTTTGTACAAATACCTAGTAATCGTTACATTACATTTTTATTCAGTAACTACTGTTAAATGAGGATAGAATGTTTTATAAATCCAAATTGTTCAATTTTCCACTTAAACAAGAAAAATATGTACTAATGCCCTGTAATAAACAGCTCTATCTAATGGTCTTATCTTAGATTTTATACATTTCTCTATTTACCATGTGTTTGCGGAAAATAAGTTTATAATTTGGCAAAGTAGCTGTGTTCTGCTTTAAAATACAGACTATTTAGAATTCATTGGAATAATGGTAAAATACTATGAATTTAAGTTTTGAGTTAAATTAAAACTTTCCTGCTTTGATTAGTTTTAATGAATAAATGAAACTTTAATATTCATTATCGAAGAGTAAATACATGCGACATACTTAGAAAAATACAAATGTGCTATTAATTTTTTATGTTATTTCTATATTGCAATGTCACAAGTAAGCGTAACAAAGATCAATCCAGACTGAATTGAAGTTTAGATCAGCTAGGCTAGATATATATAAGTGTGTTTAGACTCATGCTATTTTCACAAATAACTTGTATAAAAAAAGTAAACGTGTCTTAACAAATTGTGGTGTAGACTATTTATAAGGTAAACATCCCAATATATGAATCGGTTGAAACCGGACGAGCATATTATTGCCCGGACGGGGCACTTAAGTAGCACTAAATGCCATATATCATTTGTTATTCGATCTCACCAGCTTTTCCCTTCAATAATTAACAAGAATTGTCTCCAAATCTTTCCCGGTGGCTCAGCAGTAAGTATGAGGGCTTAAAAACTTAAAATTATGTTCTCAATACCCGTGGTGGGCAGAGTACAACTAGCTCATTGTATATCATTGCGCTTAACAACTAACAAGCAAAACAAACTCTAAATCTCTTATAGGTTTTCTGTAATATAAAAACGCTCCAGAGCAGACGGGGCAGTTAACTGACAATGAATGACACATTTCATATGTCACTCGATTACTCCAATTCTCCCCTTCACTAATAAAAAAAAATAATTATATCCAAATCAATTTAAGTTTTTATTAATATCAGAAACACTCTCCAATCCAGCATATCTTTGCCTGGACGAGGCAGTTAATAAACAGTTGCACATCATTTAGCAAAGAATTGGTTTGTTTGTAAGTTCGCGCAAAGCTACACGGGGGTTATCTGCGCTAGCCGTCCCTAATTTAGCAGTGAAAGACCAGAGGGAAGGCAGCTAGTCATCAACACCCACCACCAACTCTTGGGCTACACTTTTACCAACGAATAGTGGGATTGACAGTCACATTATAACGCCCCCACGGCTGAAAAGGGAAGCGTGTTTGGTGGGACAGGGATTCGAACCCGTGACCCACAGATTGCGAGTCACGCGCCCTAACCACCAGGCCATGCAAGGCTCAATAAAGAATTAAAACGTATAATTTTAAGAATACAACTCGAACAACATAACCAGATAACAATTTGTTTGTGATTACATTTTTCAATTTTGTAGCATTGATGTCAAACAACTAATGTATAACGAGGTACATAGTACGTATTGATTTAGTTTAAAATATGAATTACAATTTACAATATTCGGGTTGCAAAAGCACTTTTAATATACATTCATATATCATTATGGAAGAAATTCTGATTATTTGAACAAATAAACTCCTCACAATCACTTTATCTGTATGCATATCATACACTTGTATGTTGACATACTTATCACAATTTCAGACAAGTGTATTTTCAAAGTGTGGTTGTTCCAGGTTCTTCCATACGTTCAAGGTGATAGCAGTCTTGGCAAAACACCATCTTGCTCATTTAAATTTTTTAACATTTAACTCCCATGAAGCGCTTGGATCAATCCTATTTAAAGTACTCTGGAATTACATTTGACAGAAATATGACTGTGTATTGCTGATTATCACGAAGGTATTTGGACGTGATAACTGGAATAATACTTTGACCTGGCCGATATAATTCTCTCTTTGGTTTTGGAAATGCTATATCTTCAGTGACACAGAACAATTCAGTAGTTCCTAGACTATACATCTTCGCAAAGTTGTCATATTGTCAAAGAAAGGCACAAAGCATCCACTACATAATATATGTGAATAGAAACAGACAGACACTGCAGTTCCAAGAATCCACCTGGGGTGGAATATCGCATGGTATATGAATTGATAATCTAGTCCAAACAGTAATCCTCTTCCAGCTCTTCTGATAATGATAGTCCATGAAGCTTCGTGTTCTCCAGATAACCAAATTACAAAGACTTCACACTGAATCTAAATAAAGAAACAATTTCCACTCCATGAATATAATCATAATACCCAAAGTTCCCACGTACTCGCTCTGGAATGGTATAAATATTTTTGTTCATCTCATTTTGTTTTTGTGTTTGTATGATGTATGTTTAAGTCTGTATGACCACATATTTCAATGAATTTCATCAAGTGAGTGGTAACACAAATAATCTCATTGTTTTTCTTGACATTCTCCACTGATGTTCTAGTTAAAAGACAAGCATCGATAAGGTTATCAGTCAATCAATCTTTGTCCAATAAGGATTCCAATCTGTCAGATTAATCGCGATGTTTTTCACTTTTACAGCTTTAAGCTCTTGATATTTTGCTACACTTTGCCATGGAGTTGTAGTTTCTTTAAATGTTTGATATGTTTGTTAGCAATGGTTCTTCAAAAGTATGTAGCTGCTTATTGCCACAAGTGTTTATTTTTTCTGGTAATGCAGTTTCTAAGTAATCTCCAGTGAGTACGGTGATGCAGTTGTTTCCAGCATTTCCTTCTGACATGAAATCTTCCTCTCTGACTTGGACCACTGAGCAAGCACTTTAAGTTGCTTTAAATTGTAGAGTTTTTTGTTGTTGTTGTTTTTACGGTATTATCTTCCTCACTAAAAACTTGCAGCAACAATATTCAAGCTTTTATTTGTTGAATTTCACGCAAAGCTACTTGAGGCCTGTCTGCGTTAGCCGTCCCTAATTTAAAATTGATAAACTAGATGGAATGCAGCTAGTCAACACCACCCACCGCCAACTCTTGGGTTACTCTTTTACTAACGACAAATGGGTTCGACCGTCTCATTATAATGTTCCCACGGCTGAAAGAGTGAGCACATTCGGTAGTGGGATTCGAACCCGCGATCTGCAGTTTGCGAGTCGAGCGCCCTAATCACTATGCTATGTCAAGTCAATATTCAAACTTGTTTGATTATTGTTGCGTGAGCCGTTCTCCGTAGCAAAGAACCTCTATACATAATCATTGTTTCTCAACCCTTTAGCAATATAGTTGGATGAATGCATGGAGGAACACTTGATTGTCTTGTAAAACAATTTCTGTCAACCCTTGTAAAGTTTTTGGCATGATAGGCTTGGTGCCTGTGCTTTAAAACAATACCTTGAGTTTTTATTTTGAGATTTTTAAAAGTGATTGAAATAAACGAAGAGTTTAAGTTAGATTGAACTGCAATAACATAAATTAAACTTCAGGAGTTACAGATAAAATATTTAGTTTATAGATAAAATATTAAAGATTCAGCATACTAAGATGCGGCCTTTCTCAGGGCCTGGGATCTGAAGATGCGATCGCCAAAAATTTTACATATGGCATGTGGAATTTAGAGCTATTTAAGTGTCCCGTCCGACTTTTTCATTCTTCTTTCTTTCTTAAGTCATGATCAAGTCAAAGAATACATTGTAGTGATTAATTTTGTACAATCCAATTTAATAAAACAATTTTAAGCTCTCAGATTATAACACCTTGTAATACCTATAAATTATTCACTAGTATATATTAAGCAAACCCTAATTCGCACCTATAGTGTCCTACCTTGCAGATTACCATTCTCTCTTGTGGTTAATAAACTTACTACCATACATTATTTATAATAAGTTTTCTTCGTAATACGCGGTGGAACGGTGCTATAATTTAAAGTTAAAAGTCACGTTTTTTTATTGCTTCACCATTCTACTTCAATAATATATATAATGAATATTTAAGTCAAAATTATTGTTACAGGTGTTCCTTAAAACTCTGAGAATGTAATCGCATTGCTAATTTGTAGATTAGTAATATTACATTTCCTTTTTTACCCCCACCCACACGGTGGTTCAGCGGCACGTCTGACGGCTTATAAGACTAATAAATCTGCTTTCCATACCCACGGAGGGTATGTGTATCTTTGCGCTTAACACCAAACCATTCCTCTTTTATGAGTTTTAATGATTTATAAAACTAAATATGCCCATTAAGACCATGATTCTAAAATCCACAAACCTAAATGCAAGTAAGAAATTCTAAATAAACTTGATTTATGAAATGGCGTCACTGGCAGAAAGTTAGGTATTTAAAAGCTGAGCACTGAAACTCATTTGTAATATCGTTACTGTAACGGGAGTTTGGGCCGAACCATAGTTCATGTTTTCATATATTCCACAGATATTACTTATTATGTGCCAATATATGCCATTTAACCCTAGACATTGATGGGGTTCTTATCCTATAGGCTTTTAAATTAATTTTTCTCAAGTATACATATGTACCAAATTGCTCGGGGCCCATGATTTGGCCGGTGACAGTGTTCCTAATAATACATAAATAATAAAAAATAAATAAACAAAGATTCCCTTAGGAACTGTACAGAGAAAGATTAATTTCACCCAAATATCAAATTTAGGAATTTAATTTAAAACCCAAAAAAATATATTATTTCACCTGTGATTACTTAGTTGTTATTAAAAACATGTAGGACATGGAAATATACCAAACTGTGTGTACCATTACAACTATAGTCCACAAATATTTCAGAAATATAAATATAATTTATAATACAAATATAATTGGCATTCACGACAATTAGTAAATGCCTTCCTCACAACGAAACACATTCTCTATCCATGCCTCATTCTCAAAAGAAAAAAAAAATCGAAACAAGGCTCTTAACGCATTTCGTATAGGCCTATCGTAAAGAAATAATGGCGACTGCAAACAAAGGTCTTGGTAATCCTGGATGGACGAATCATTTAGCTGCTGTACCCGATATTTCAATGGGTGTCTACAAAACAAATCACTAAAGACTACAAGTTCTTCCATGGGTCATACATACATGATACTGAAGGTAGATTATCTATCACATTTTGTGTCATACACATAGGCCTAAAGATGTGTGTATGGAAAGTCCTACATTCGTCACCGTGTTTGTAACTTACATTTCGATATTGATCATTATATTATATATTTTGTATATAATTTGACGAATAAAATTCCATAGTAATTTAAATATAGAATACTGGGTGCCCGGGGAATTACGTTTACTCACTTTAGAACAAGCCAGAGAAATAGAAGAGCTGTTTCAGACCCAAAGTGAATGCCCAGAGCATTGACGTCCTAAATACCTTGACCGCACATCCCATGATATTTCAGTAGGCCGCCATGGCCAATCGCTCCTGACTTCTGTAAGGTCAAAAACGGGGCTGTCAATAATGCAGACAGTGGATGTGTGATACTTTAACTGCATGTATATTTCTTAGTTATGGATTGATTTCCGAAAATTAAAGTTATTTCTAAATCTTATGATTTTGGTTATTAAGAATGACACAACTGGCCGTTTTATTCTTTAACAAAAATTATTGCTAACATTGTCAACTGATCATCATCATAGTGTATGGGCCCACATACTCTCCCTTAGGGCTTAAAGCTCAAGCACTATTGATACTAACAAATTGATTATTTTCTTTTCAACTCACAGTGTAATTACAAGGACCCATGTGGACGGACTGGACTGTACTTAAAGGCATGTGTTTAAATATTCCACTGGGATTAATAAAACGCACCAGTTTGAAAATACCAATTAAGTGAAACAAATTGTGTAAAATATTTCTAGAGATCAATATTATATTATTAAACGATTCTTATATTTGCATTATTTATATATATTACAACCAGTTCAATGTCGGCCTCTGAATGTCAAAATTTATTTATTCCACTAATTCCAATGCGTTTATATATTTTGTGGAATGAAATTTATTTCTATTTTTTTCTGTAAAATCGTCTACCATTTATAACAGTTCATAATGACAAAGCTTTTTTCAAGCAATGCAATGTTTATTACTGACAATTCATAACAATACAGTGATTATAACACAGAATAATTATTTTTTGTTGTTTTAAAATCCAATCTAGCCTTCATGTACATGTGAATAACTGTTAAGTTACATTAGCTACTGATTATGTGATATACATAGGACAATTTATAATAGACAAAATAATTAATAATGATAATAAATATATATATACAAATGACAATAATATCGACCCCTTCTGCTGAAGTTAAACTTCCAAACAGTAAAAATATTTCAATATTATAACAGGGTTCCCAAACGAATCTTGCAATCAAATTCCATGACCAAAATTATTATTTCCATAACTTTTTCTGAGATTGTGAAAATATATGATGGATTTCTTGATTTTTAGTTTGTTTATGTTTGGTTTTTTGTTTCAAATTACTGTGTTTTTAATAGATATGCTATGGTTTTTTGAGTTGTAATGGTAGAAAACATGGGACGTTTTTTTAATGTGTTCTGTGAATCTGTTTTTCAATTTTTCTTTCTGTTTCTCCGATGTAGAATTCTGGGCAGTTATTGTAGCTGGATGAGGCAAATTAATCTTTTCTTTCAGGAAATGATAAGTCCTGGGTCCATAGAAAAACAGAGTTGTTGCAAATTTCGTTTGCTCCTTTGAATATTCATGGCTCGGGCGGGGTGAAAAGGTGAACAGGTATATCTGAAATGAAAGCAAAGGCATTATTTTTAACTAAAAACATAGGCAACACCAACAATCAGCTCAACTAGCACTAACTAGTCTAGGCCCTTGCACGGGGCGGGACATTCTGCGCAGGACATAGGACACCGCATCCTGCGTCTTTGTCTGTGACAGTTATTTTAGTGTAAAATTAATAGTTTAGAAAAAAGTATTAATCACCAATTGTGTTCGACGATTAGCAATCCTCCTTCACCCTGCTCGAGGTTAAAGATTGGAAGTTCGATGAGAGGTCATCGTTCTATTGGGCCAAGTGGGTGAAAAAACAATAAAATTTTAAAAAATAAAATAAAAAGTGCCATGGCTAGGATCTATAGATCCAATGCCTAAGAGTTTGGTGCGGCGGGGGGTGACCCGAGAGAACCCACTTTCACTAATCGGGACCGAAAGAAAGCCCGAGTGAAGAGCTATTGAAGTGATGAAGATCTGAAAATATAATATACTCTTCTTCTTACTTTTGCAGATCATGGTGGTGTATTAGTGATGTTGTATGGGGATAGATATTTGCACCATGGTTTGGGGGTAGCGGCAATTTTGTGAAATTCGTCTATGAGTGAGTTTCGGTAGGTGGCTCTTTTGTAATATTTAGTACGAAGTTTAGATATGCGTTCTTGTACTGTTTGTAGTGAAGTGTGTAGTGTGGGAGGTGGTGGGCAAGACGTATTACTCGATTTTGGAGTTTTTGAAGTATCATACGTTAGTTGTGATTCATATTACATGTAACCATTGAGCCATAGTCTATTAAAGGTCTGATAAATGTCTTATAAATGTACATTATTATCTGTGGTCTGCATCCGTGAGTGTGATGACTTATTTTGTGAAGGTATGCTATTCTGGTTTTAATTTTCTTACTTATTTCCTTGCAATGTGTGTGCCATGTTAGTTTAGGGTTGATAGTTATGTCTAGGAATTTTGCAGATTTAGATAAAGAGATGGGAGTATTGTAAAGGTTTAGTTTAGCTAACCTGACACACTTTAATCAAAAAGTTTAGCCTTCGAAAGAGTATGATTGCTTGAGTTTTAGTGGGATTCAGTAATATTCTCCATGTGTTGCAGGGTTCCACAAAGGCAGAAGTGCTGGAGTGGGATCTGTCTTAGATATTGCGGATCCCGCAGCTGAGCCAGGTGCGGTGCGGGATGATAGCGGGACTACTGCAAAAGATCCCAGTCCCGCATTATCCCACAAGTTGATAATAATGAATATCATAGTGTATTTATGATATTTTTGTTTGTATAATTACATGTAATGATTTCAGGTCATATTATTGTATTATCAACTTTGTGTTAATACATTATCACATTAAATTTTAAGAACTGTCCATTTCCTTACTGAAATAAATACTGGGGAAATGTGTACATAACTCTCAGTCTGTCGTCCCTGTCTACAGACATTCTGTAGACAGGGAACCAGTGTACTTAAGCAAACAGTGTATATACAGTATAATTGAGTGGGTATTGCTTGATAGTCTCTATTGAACACAGACATAGATAACAATATATCTCTAGCTAATTAAACTAGCTTGAATGAACTTGATAGTTTATATATACATATAAAAAATATATTTATTCATAAGTAGTACATACTATTTAACTAGGAAGAGTAATTTGTATTTGATTGTAATTTTGGAATGGCATGTTGTCACATATATCAAAATGAAAAAAAAAACAACTAGTTCATATTGCATTACCATGACTAATTATACAATAAGAATATATCCAGTAGATAATACTAGATATATAATATATACTTCGACAAAAGGTTTAATGATATACACTAGGAACACAAGTACATATACATGTATATCAAAATTTATTAACAAGTCCCGGCAATAACTTACATTATATTGTGGTTATTATTTGTTAAATATTTCCCAATGTTTATATTAATATTTTTTCTAATGATTAAAGAGTATATTTCTTTCATATATCTCTCTATATTAAACAGGTAGTTATTGTTTAATTGCACTTATAGTGCCCCTTGATGATATAAAGAGGTACCTAATTTAAATTGTGAGTGTTTAATCACTATTTCAAGGTAGTGACATATGCAACTTTGAGTAGTTTTGTTGAGTTAAACCTTAAAATGCTGATATAAGTAAAGCCGTCAGGTTAGGCAGCTAACCTGGGAGTGCTGGTAAATCAGATGTTTGGAATATGGTATGAATCGGCGAGTGTTTCATGTTATTAATCATTCACCATGTACACAATTATGCTCTTTGCATACAATAATGTATCACGTAGAAAATAAATGCGGGAATACTGCGGGAGTGATTATAGTGCAGGACGGGAGCGGGACTCCTGCAGTCAAAGTGTTGCGAAACAGGACGGGAGTGGGATCAAGCTACATCACTGCGGGGTGGGAGTGAGATACTGCAAGGAATCTTGCTGCGGTATGGGATGAGAGCGGGATTGCAACCTGCTGGATGGGGCGGGAGTGGTCGGAAAAATTGGTACCGCGCAGGGCCTTACACTAGTCTAAATCTGAAAGTTTAAAATATATTAAACCCTCAGTCAAATTGTGAGTGTAAAAAAAAAAAACCTACAACGTTAAAAATTTGGAATATCAATCAATGTAGACTGCCTAAAGTGGTAAACCGCAAGCCTTTCTGTCATTATTTTTGAAATTTGTCTTTACATCAAACTGCATCCACTCATTTGTGTACTGTTTCAAAGACCACGTATTTATGAATAACTATTGGTACAATGGATGAATTAATTGTCATTGTATTTTAATTCAATTCTAACTTTGGGCTCTATCAATACTGCTGGCTCAATAGCTCATCTTTTGAAAATTATTTATTTTGTATGACATTATATGATTATACCTTTATATGATTCAGGCAACCTGTGTGCCTCATCAGACAAGACCCAAATCTCTTTCACCTCTGTCAAAAGAGCCTCTACAGAGAGCCTGGCACACTTCTCCCTCCTCTTTGTGTTGTGTAATTCCTGTTTGGTTGCCTCCAGCTTTGTCTTCACCTCGTCATACTTTATTTTCAAGGAATGAGAATCACAGTTATAAGAATGTTCACTGTTAACTAAGGTTGCAAGAGGAACTTCAGGATTAGGCTGCGGAAATGGAGATGCTCGGGTTTCTGATGTTTCTGCAGCCCTTAAGCTTGTCAGTGAAGTCTTTCTTGGAGTCTGCAAGAAGCGATTACATTTATAAACTTAAGTATCATCAAAAACACATTTATATATAAGTTTCTATAATGTTAGACAAAGGTTAATAAAGGTTTAGAGTAAAAGCCGTACTATTATTTCAAATTTTTAAAAATAAATGTCTAAAACAATGACATTTTCGGCATGAAATTGCTCTCAATAGGTAAGGTTTAGTTTTTCCTGTAGGCTCCCATATTTGTAAACTATCACAATAAAATAAATGTACTTATTTCATATACATATTTATAATAGTATTCTTAAGCTTGCTAGTCCCCAGATCTAAAACAATACATAGCTCTTGATTTCTCTTCCACGCAAAGATAGATGGAATAGCTGTCTTTTTTTATACATTTAAGATTCCCATGGCGGGAAGTCATTCTCGACAAAATGTTCCGAGCACACTACATCATATGGTGATGGATTCCATGGCTTCTTGGTTTTCTTATCAATTCTCTTGACAGCCTGTATCCATTGCTGTCTCATAAAAGTCTACTTTGGAAACCTAAGAAATATATATTATACTACATATTATACGATATAATCTATAAACTAGAACAATGACAATGTTAAAGAAACCCTTTTCACTTGATGGATATTCCTTGGTCAACTATACTCATATGAGTCGTATAGTACAACTTAAAGATGTTCATTTCTAGTCCAACTTTCACAATTCAAAGTTTTATAGAATGTGCTCATGATGATTATTATATTAGGCTGAATGAGGTCGACAGTATACGTGGTTTAAGACATGTAAGAATACCCGATAACCGCGAGGCGTGAACAAGACTATGCTGGTCAAATTAATTCAAAAATGACTGAGAAATGGACGTTAATCTGTTAAATTGCAAAAATAGCAACTTACGGATGAAAAGAAATATCTACGCTTGACTTTTAACGGTTTGTACAACCCACAGCACAGCATGATTGCACCATCTTGGCGCCTTCTTTTGCCCTTACCAGAAGTGCGAGGCTCTCGACCACAGATTTCAGCCCATGCGCAGTCTAGGTATTTAGGACGTCAATGGCCCAGAGTGACACGAGTTAAGAAGAAAGTGTTTAAAGATGTTATTGTCAGAAAAAAGGGGACTTTGACACTGTATGTGACAGTTTCTTGTCAACAAAAGTAGTTCAAACACCTGCTATGAAACACGAAATACACGATTAATATTTAAAAATGCTGTTCTAGAATATGAAACTCACAAAATTGTAAATGTAAAAACCATGTGGTATTTCTCGGTAGCTCACCGTATTTCAGATTCATTCACTATTATACTAGATCTTTAATTGCAGATATTATATAGATTAGCTAGGACTATTGAATACAAAGGCCTGTTTAGCACTATAATTTCCTAACTATGTTAAATATTTCATATAGCCTTATTATAGACCCAAGACTAGGTTGCACATGCCCAGACCCTGTTACTAGTATTAACGTAAGCCTATGTAAAGTTGCAGTTTGGTTTTGCATTATTTACTGAAAACAGAACTCCTTCATCACGTCGGATGTTTATAAGCCAGTTTCTTTCTGTTAGCATCTGTAAGAAAGCTGTGGAATGAAGGAGATTTATTGAATCGTGCATCATTAGTGCACATCGAAACACAACAGTGACACGATGCTATGGTTTCTGTTTGCGCTATGAGCTTCGTTCTCGATTTAGGACGGCAGGCACGTGATATCGGTTTATAGGGCCTTATGAAGATATTAAAGTTAGACTTCTAAGTTATCTGTAAGTTATATTTACTTATAAAATTATTGAATTGCAACTTCTTAAGAAATTCGTGTTTCCTATTTAACCATACTTAAACAGTGACCAATGAATGCTTAGTTTCCCGTAATATAAATACGGCTCATTTGGGTTTGGCTAATACCTCTAACGTAGCCTTCTTGTTAAGCACTTTAGAAGCCTTACAGAAAAAGGAATATTACTATAGTTTATGCAGACAAGTTAGTTTGTCACAGAATACGGTTTTTAGAAGCAATGAAGGAACATAAGGGTAAAAAGACCTGCCATGATATAAAAGACTGTTTAGTTTAGATATAATTGATTAATTTATTTTGTGAGTGAATATTTTATTATTGTCTAGTTTTTGGTTCTGATAAGAGTTAAAAGCAGACGATTGTAGGAAGATGTGTTTGTAATTCATTGATGTTGAGATTATCGAACGTCGCGTGCAATACATTGACGTCGAGATTTCTAGAAGGCGAGCAGACGATTAAATGATAAACATATAAATAGTGTGAGACGAGCAGAAACAGCAGACATAAAATAGCAGAAAAAATAAAGTTACGGACAAGGAAAAGTTCGGCGTGGAGTTAACTATGGTAGAAGTGATAGGCCTGACGACTGACATAGGACTAATCTTTAATATATTAAAGTAAGACTAATAGTAGAAAAGGAGATAAGAAGAATAGTTTATTTCGTCAAATAGTGGTTCTAAAGTGATTGAATCAGCCTGAGTGCAGTTTGACAAAAGGAACAGAGGATATTTTGAAGAAAGAAGACCAAATGATTACGGTAACTCGCGCCACATTGTAAGTGAATCACACACCGAATACTATTACTAATGCGACAGTAATAGAGAAGAGAGTTCGGCTTGTCAACTGAAATTCTAAAGCAATTGAACAGACTTAGGTGGACTTTTGACAAGAAAACTATATATATAGTGTTTATGATATGCCTATAATCTCTACAGTGTGAAGAATTTGTTGTACATACGTAAAAGCCTTTTACTTTGACAATTGGCAACCATATTATAGTGTTACGTCTCCGTTCGTTAGTTGATTTTCCGTAACTTCGTTCCGACGAAACTTTAGCGACACAAGTCCTTACTTAATAAAACTGGTTTATTCTTTCCGAATACAACTTTACGATACACCTATTTTCAACAGTCGCGCTATAACAAACGCTATATCTCACGTGGCCAACAATATTTTGTCCGCATACATTCAATTACTCATTACACTGATGTCCCGTCACGTTGTATATATATATATACCATACTAACATATATCTAGTAAATGCTAGGGCATTCTTGAAATACGTCGCGTGATACTAGTCACGTGACCTCGCTGACATAACAATAGCTATAAATTCTGACAAGGTGTTAGAAGCAGAGAATGCTATTAAGGAAATGAACTTTCATTAATAACACTGATAGAAAACAATAAAATTGTTTCAATTAATCATGGTCAATTTGTAACCAATATCAAAACAATATCAAACATCGGTTATTCACACCAATTTCTTCTCATGAAGCAACTGGGTCACAGCCAGGCACTTCTAATTCCATTCCAAACATAACTTCTGAGCTCTGTACTTTAGAAGTCAATGAGTGGCCATGCAGTTCTTCCGAATGGGAACGATGCTTTAGATGCATGAACCTTATCACTACGGAAACGAGGTCTAGGCTGTTAATCCACCATGTGACAAATATCATGTTCATTAGCTTCACCGCCCTCTGATTCAAAACTTGAAATCAGACGACTGTGGATACAAATGACTAAGATGTCATCGTTCAGCAACTGATAGATGAACAAGAGTATCCAAGTCGAAGGAACTCACTATAGACAAGTGTGTAAGTTCTGTTAGTAAGTTATCCAGGAATTGAAAACATTTATAGCACCCTGACTGTATCTTATCTTATCTAATATTACATTTTCACATGAACAAGACCTATTGGGCTGGGAGTTAGTTTCCAACAAGGTGGTGATCCCATGCAGCAATTGTAGTGATACAATTTATGGTAGTAAACATGAAGCCAGTGGTACACTTGCAACTATGGCTTTGCTTGCATAAAGTGCCTTTGTGGATACTATTAAGGATCTGTGGAATTACATTGAAAGTGGCAAGGTTAAGTGGAAAGCACATAAATTGGCTGAATTGTAAAGAGTTGTACAGAACATTTGGAACAATCATTATAATCATACATTGACGTAAGAACCAAGTGTACGGCTCTGTTTAAAACAAATATAAATTGTTAACGCATTGTACAATTATTTGCTTTTCTTTCGTATTTGCAATAATAATGCAATGTACTAGCGATAAGACCAGTTAGTTGCAATTAATAGTTGTTTATGACATCTGTATGTGTATAGTCTGTGCGGTATTTCCGTAATTATTTCCAATACTGTATGTGAAGTTGTAGTGTGCAGCTATCACATATCGCACTCTGTTGTAGTATACATTTTTTTATATAACAATAAAATTTGCAAATTTTGTGGAATTTCTACTTCAAAACTTGAGTAGAAAGTTATTTTATCATGGTAAGAGAGATTATTTCAAATTGTTTTGATTTAATTTATGATTGGACAGTTACAAAGAGAATGTAGATTGTGACAGAGTTTTAGTCCTTTCAGGGGAGCTTAGTTATTGTGGCGAAATTTTATATACTTTCCTTTTATTTCAGTGTTAGCTTAATTCTGTTTCCTGTTTTGTTTGTAACCTTTATTTTTCAGTTCATACTTTTTATTTTATGGAAAAAACTAAATATAGTTTTTACTTACATTTAATTAATGCTTCTATTTCAGCCATTACAGTTTATCTTTTCTCACATTTAAAGTTTCTCATGTCAATTTAACAGCCCTAACGCTTATCACGGTCACTTACTATCTTCACATGCGTTTGTTTTAATAAAAAAGTTGTTTTTTGTCTGTCTTCACATTAGATTATCTTTTTTTCACCACCAAATAGTAGGAGAGCGAAGAGCTTCTGGGCTTACTACGTTAAAAATCTGGGGTTCAATCCTTGCATTGAGCACAGCAAAGATGGCCCATTCTGCATTCATGCACTTAAAACAAACTTGTCTCTTTCATTAAGCCATCGACAAATTAGCGGTGCACTTGTCTTTCTGCATATTGAAACTTCGAACCATTATGATTGCGTTGATCAAATGACTTTGTATTTCTTTTATTCCAAATTTTGGAATAAAACAAAGATGCCTGGTAATAAAGCTTTTAAACCAACTTTTTTCGTGCGCTAATTCCTTAAAAAATTTTACTCGCTGTTATTTACTTAGACTACGTATACCTTTACCAATTTACGCCTAACTAGAACTGCAGAAGGGGCACATGTCACTCCACTTTGAATAATTTTTCAGAAAACATTTTGTTACCTTGCTTCGCTTGCCAGTTCTTCCTTACTCTTGCCCCCCTCCACAAACCGCTACTTTTAAACCAAGTTAGATGTCCATTTATATTTGCAGTTTACATTGTAAAGAATTTAGCAAAGTGCTATCATTGAAATAGTTCAAAAGATTATAGACCAGCTAAACAACGATATTGATACCATTGAAACAGAGGTGTCGCTAGGTGCTTAAAAGATTCGGGGCCCGTAGGCGCGGGAATTTTCGGCGTTTCAGTATGATATCGGTCATGGTTTTCTATTCTGATTTTTCAAAACACCAATTGGAGATTCGGGGCACAGTCAATTAGAATCGGGGCACGGGTCCAGTATGCCAGTGCCTAGCGACGCCTCTGCATTGAAAATAAAACGAAAATTAACTTAATTTCTATTTTTCAGAACTCATAAACATTATTAAGAGATTATCAGTCATACAAAGTTATCTATATCAGATTTACGACTGTAGTAAGGAATCACCTAATCTCATCTGTGGGTTACCGCCAGTTGCAGATATGCCACAAAAATATATGGAGTGGGTTGTTAATGTGAGAGAGTTTGTACGTCAACACGTGAGAGAAGCAGCAAAGAAACAAAATATGGCATATAATGAGAAAAGGAGAGTGGGTTAAATGGCGTTAGTATACACCAGTAGCAGATCTAGCTAGAATGTGACCTTATATTTTCAAGCTAAAAAATTCAGAAGTCTCATGGCACATATAAATGTGTGGAACACGTTGATAACCTGAAATACTGGCGAGCTGAAGAACTGATTTGACAAAAAAGTAGGGAGAGCGAATAAGTTAAAGTTCCAGACGATGATGATGGCATTGTGCTATCCTACCCTGGCAGGAGATTGTGCTAGAACTCCCCTGACTATTTACTGAGAGTCACAGAAAGAGGGACATCAACATCCAAGACATTATGGCTGAGAATGATACAGATGTTAAGAGTAGACTTGTGCGGCTACAGTGAATCTATACTGAAATGGGTTGGTTACAAAACGTTTTCTTTTCAAGCTATTACGTAGAGATTCATGTTAAAGTATGTGCAAGATATTTTGTGATAGCCATTCGACAATAACAGCTAGAAGAGTGAGTGATAATAGCTAGAAAGGGTATAACATTATCAGCTCACATCCTGTGAGACCCGAAACATCATTAACATGTATTATGCGCATAATATTTGTCGACATTGTTTAAGTACTTACGTAGTT